GAATTCTTGCTTTAAAAGAAAAGTTTATAAAGACTATTTAAGCCACTACTAATATCTTTAAGACTCTAAAAATTTAAACAACAATGCTTTGAATTCTAATTAATAAAGATCGCAGACGCTAATTGAATAGCTAAAAGACAACTTAAATATCCATTAATTCATAAAAAGCTTAACAAAGCTTCATTAGGCTTTCTTTAATTTTAATTTTCGTGTACTCCTTTTCTAAGATTATTTCTTTTAGTTTTATGAGGCTTACTTTATTTTTATGAAGCTTCGTTTCTTTCCAAGATTTTCATGTCTTTGGAGTTTAATAAAACCGCATTTATTTTTATTACCTCATTAATATTTTCCTAAAAGTTTAATTATGATTAAAAAAAATCAAATATAATCCAAACACAATTTTACTTATTTCTGGATTCTAAGATTTAATTTTCTTTCATTCCTTCATTTTTAATCCGCTAGCTGATTATTCTTGCTCTTTCTTCCAATGTACATAAATTAGATAAAATCATACGCGTTGTATTTAATAATGCATAATTAAGATAAATAAAAATTTGTTCTTTCTTTATTTTTAATTAATCAAGGATTTATTATTAATTATTCGCCTTGGGATTTGGTTATCAATATTCTTCTAATCTGTTTTAAACTCCTTGATTGTTAAGGAAATGAAAAAGATGGATATATATATATATATATTCTAAAATAAATTACTTTCCGACTTTTTGAATTTCCAATTACTAAAGTAAACAGTGAGTTCAAATAAAACTACTATTTGACAATTTTTTTTATTGTACTGTATAAAATTTTTATCATAGGGGAATCATAAACAATTTATTTAAATATTGAAATATGTATTTATTTCTTTTACCTATTTTAATATTAAGATAAAGTTGTAGTTTAATTTACTTTTTTGGAGTTACACTTCTTAAAATGTTTAAATGAAAATTTTTTTTGAGTTTAAAAACAGGATTTAAAAAAATTAAAGCTTCTTAAATACGGGATAACAAAATTATTTTTTACGAAGATTATAAAGGGCATTCTTGCTAACTAATTATAAGGATTATTTTTAACAGATCAAGCCAGGATTTATCTGATTATTTGAAAGGTTTAATAAAAAAAATAATTGAAAGTAAGTTTCATTTAAATTATTTAGAAATGGCTTTATTATTATTATTATTTTTTAATTTTATGAAAAATTTTAGTGAACACGGTTTACAGTAAACATTTATTTTTAGCTTAAATAAAGACACTTTATAATTTTTACCATATATTAAATATTGCAAAATAAAATTAAGGATTTTCGAAACAATATAATTACATAAGAAACAAAAATCATTTCTATCTCCTTATATAGCAAGGGTGGCCAAGCTCCTTAATAGTCGAGCCATTTTTCAAAATTTGAAATTTTTCGGGAGCCGCAATGAAATACGTATTTGAAAGGTATGCAAAAAAGGTATTAAAAACTTTTTTTTACAGAATTTATATCTATTGAAAACATATAAATAAAAGTACGAAATATGTGTATTGAATTTAAACATTAAAAATTAAACACATTTATTTTACTTATCTTGATAATTCTTTGAAATTTGTTAGAAATTTCTTAGAAAAAAAAAAGAATAAATTATTGGTAGATCGTGTTAATCGATCTGGAGTCGGTCATTTACGAACGATTACGCTACTGTTTATGCTCGTCTGCGCAGTTTTCGATGAGTCATATCATTCTTATCTAGGACGAAAATGAAATTTGTTACAACGTTGCACTTAGTCTTTCATGTTTGTTGTCAGTAATTTAAAAGACATTTTGAAACACATACGGAACAATAATAATTTTTTAAAATATAATAGTGCGAAAATGAAAAGGGAAATAGGGTACATTTATCGAGAGCCACAAATAATCCTTCAAAGAGCCGCATGTGGCTCGTGAGCNAGTTGCCCCCCCCCCCCTGTTATAGAGGGTGTTAGTTGACACTGCCATCGCGACAATCTCGTTCCAATGTCTCAACCCTCTGCGTTTTAAGTTCCCACGTGTCACTAAGATTGAAACAAAACGCAATTATATTCACTTATACAACAATAGAGCATAATGAATATTCCTGGAGGACGAGTTATCTAAGAATTCTTATCTTAGAATTCAGAATTCTTATCAAAAATAAAAATAAGAAAGGATTCATATTGGAGGTCGCAATTTCATACCTTGGCGAAGAAAGACAAAAGAGCTCTCGAAATCTGGTAAATTAAAGTAAAGGAAGGTAAGTGTAATAAACATCAAATCAGGTTTATTTGGAGGTAGGTTGAAGCTACAAAGTGTTTCTATTAACTCTCTTTCAGCTGCTCTCTGCTTCCTCCCGTAATCAAACCTGTCTTGTTGTTTATTACATTCGTAATCTTAGACTGGGATTTATCTAACTTTGATAAGGATTTCCTTTTTTCCTAGCTTAAATTTTTATTTGCGATCCACAATGTCCAGACATTTTTGTTTTAATTTATAAAATGGATTCTAAAAATGCATATTAAGGGAGGACTTTATGAAACACTCTGTATTTTAGAGATATATTTATAATAGCAAGCGCTTACTTATACTTGAAGACACCGAAGTAAGTATATTTTCTCTAAATGTTATATTTCTAACAGTGCCTTATATAAAGCCTCATAAAATAGAAAACATATTCATAAAAAAAAGAATTTTTCTTAATAGTTATATACTTTCTGTCAAATTACTTTTAATGTTTTTTTATTATCTTTTTACATACAAATCTTCGGGTTTATGGTCAAAATAACTATAACAAAATAGATACAGTATTTCCAGTTTATAACTTTTTTTGAAAACCAAATATGAATTGGTGAATTTATTAAAATAATATTTTCAGAGTTTTTACCCTCCCACCGAATAATTTCGGTTCATTCAACTGAAAAAATCTATGAAATTTTCAAAATATATATACAACTTTCCATAGACATATCATCCGCAATAAAATAGATACATTATTTTGATTGAAAACCAAATACGAATTGATGAATTATGTGAAAATGATTTACAGAGTTCTTACCTTCCAACCGAATAATTTCGGTTTATTAAACTGAAAAAATCTATGCGATATTTAATATATGTATACATTTTTTTAAACTTTCGATAGACACATCATCCGAAATAAAATAGATACAGTATTTCAATTGAAAACCAAATAAGAATTGATGAAAATCATACGAATTGTAAAAGAAAGAGTTTCAAATTTCTTATTTTCCAACCGAATAATTTCGGTTCATTGTACTCAAAACATCTATGCGATTCTTGAAATATATATAATTTCTTTTTTAATTTACAGTAGACAGTTACATCATCTAAAAAAATGAAATAGATACAGTATTTCTAATCCATCACTTCTTTTGAAAACCAAATACGAATTGATGAATTATATGAAAAAGATTTTCAGACTTCCTACCTTTCAACTCAATGATTTCGGTTCATGCAATTCAAAAAGATATGCGATTTATTACACATGATATTCTTTAGCTGTGTCAAAAAGCGATAGAAAAGAAATTCCAAGACGCCTGTTTGAAATCCTAAAATTTATTTTACGAGGAGCTGTCTTCACTGTCTTTTTACAGTATTATATTTTTCAACTTTATGTGTAGTCATTGTACTTTTATGACACTTATTTCTTATTATATACAATATTCCTTTAAAGATAACTGATATAAAGTGAAGTCTATGATATTTCTTATCGGCATTAAACCAAAAACTGCAATAGTATTTAAACGTAATTCTTGCTATGAAGCACTTAATGTTTTGTTTTAGATCATACAATTTTTAATCTTATTTCTCAAGGCATTATCTTTTAAATTGAAAATATTAAAAACTTTGTGTTCATAGTTTTGGCATGGAGAATAAAAATCTGATGAAATTACCGTTTTGTTGAGTAATGCCAAAAAAATCCATAATTCTGGTTAATAAGTATACGGTATTTAAACCAATAATTAAGAAATTTTTCCAATCATATAGTAATGGTTTACGGAAATCCTGCGGACCTTGTTATCCAAAAGCAAGACCGACCTCATCTCTAGCGAGGGCTCTATCCCCTGACCTATCACCACTCTGATTTTTTAATACATAAAATTCTTTATTATATAATAGCTTTAAGGAAGTAACAATTCAAAAGAAGTTAAAAAATAGAGTTATTTGATCGAAATCATTAATAAAGTATAATGTCTATCAAGAAACTTGACTTAAAAAAAATGCTACTGATGTGAGATCTTTGTTTTTAAAACAAAAATCTCATATTTCAATACACAAACTATAAAACACCGTCAGTACATTAAACAACTATAAGAAAAAATGATATCTTTATTTCCCTCTAGTATTTTCAAAACAATATAGTCTACCATAAAAAAATCAGGTATTAGAGATGCACAAACTAAAGCTTATCGTTTTGTGTTCAGCAGGTTTAGAAGAGTTGTTATTTGATCGAAATCATTAATAAAGTATAATGTCTATCAATAAATTTGACTTCCAAAAATGTGACTTATGTGAGATCTTTGGTTTTAAAACAAAAATCTCATATTTCAATACACAAATTATAAAACACACTTAGTACGTTAAACAACTATAAGAAAAATGATATCTTTATTTCTCTATAGTATTTTTAAAACAATATAGACTACCATAAAAAAATCATGTATTATAGATGCACAAACTAAAGCTTATTGTTTTGTGTTCAACAGGCTTAGAAGAGTTGTTATTTGATCGAAATCATTAATAAGGTATAATATCTATCAAAAAAATTGAGTTAAAAAAAATGCTACTGATGTGAGATCTTTGTTTTTAAAACAAAAATCTCATATTTCAATACACAAACTATAAAACACCGTCAGTACATTAAACAACTATAAGAAAAAATGATATCTTTATTTCCCTCTAGTATTTTCAAAACAATATAGTCTACCATAAAAAAATCAGGTATTAGAGATGCACAAACTAAAGCTTATCGTTTTGTGTTCAACAGGTTTAGAAGACTTAGTGACGAGAATCCCATGAGCTTTACGACCTCAAAATAATTCTACGTCTAGACGAGTAACGATATCTATCATTAATAAAAAGATGTCATTCTCTACTAGTATGGGTATGTCAGCAATTTTTATGTAATAAATCACTTCCTTTTGCGCTCTTAATGATATTTTTAGAGATAAATTACTTGTGTTATGGAAAAAGCAAGATGCAGTTTTAGCATAAATGTTTCATTTAGACATGAAACTCTAGAAATAAGATGCCTAATTGGGTTTTCGCAGATCTTTAAGTCTTGAATTATAATTTAATTGTTTTTATTGTTATTGAAATTCAAGTGATTTGATTTTAATTCAGTTAAAATGTAGTCGAGCACATGTCGTGAATAATTGTATTATTATAGATAATTTTTTAATTAGTTTTTTTTTATTGGATAATCTAAATTAGACTGACGGTTTTTAAAATTTTATTGCAGAAAATATATTAAGATTTAAAAAAAATCTTGCAGCAATTTCTTGTGATAATATACAAATGTATTTTGCGGGATTTTTTATTTTAATTATAAAATTTTCTGACTGATTGCATTGCAGTCAGTAAAATCCATGAACTTCATGACCTCTAAATAATTTAATATTTAGATGAGTAACGATATCTAATATAAATAAAACTATGTCATTCTGTACTAGTACGTGTATTTTTTTTTTTTTGTATTCTAAATAATTTCCTTTGCACTCTTAATGATGCTTTTGGAGATAAACTACTTGTTTTATGGAAAAAGCACGATGCAATTTCAGCGAAAATATTTCCTTTAGCCATCAAACTTTAAAAATAAAATGTGTACTTGAGTTTTTGTAGATCTTTAAGACTTGAATTATATTTTGTTCTTATTATTATTGAAATTCAGTGAAAATGCGTAGTTGAGCATTGTATTATTGTAGATAATTTTTAATTAATTTTTATTAATTGGATTCATACAGGTTGTTTTAAATTAGGCTGAAGGTCTTCAAAATTTTATAACAGAAAAAAAAACGGTTGCAGCAAATTCTTGCAGAAATATTTTCGGTTGGTTTTTTTTTTTAATTAAAAAATTTCCCAGCTGATGGCGCTGCAGTCAGTAAAACCAGTAAATTATTGGAAACTAAAGGAAATTTTGCTTTCAAATGTTTCGATATCTTTTACGAATGAATATAAAATTTCAATATTTAAGAAATTACATCAGCCGTAATTTCTTGTAATCGGAGAAACGAACAATAAAAAAGAGTTACAGTGTCATCTGTCGGAATTGCTTTAAACTAAATAACTAGATAGTTGGCACACCTGCACAGTGGGCCAGAAGACCTTGAATTTTGGCCAAAAGTCAAAAATTAAATTTCAACTAAAACATGTTTAGTCAGCTTTAATATCGCCCAAATTAAGTATTCATAATCATTCCAAACATTTTAGTTTACTTTTTGGACCGACGAGAGTGCAATGCAGTGAAAAATATGTTTAAAAATTTTTTTTTTAATATAACTCTTAAATTTATATTTCAGAAATATATATATAAATTTCACCTTTCTGTTACATTTTTATAAGAGTAATTAGTCTGAAAATATAGTACAATTTTTCAATTTGTTGAATTAGTTAATACTCTTGACAAACTTGTAGTTTATATTTTATCATTTGACATTTTACAATGTTTGACTCACTTTCGAAACTTATCTCCAAAAAGTTCCACGATTTAATTAGCTAGACTTTTTTGTTGTCTTCTTTGATGTTTCTTCTTTCGAAAAAACCTGCCCCATTTTGCCCATATTGCAAAGGTGGACTAAATATACTGAAAAACAAAAATTATGTTTTTTTTCATGTTTTCACTTTATTTTATAATTAATTCGGGTTATTCTGCAATATTACTTCAGAAATATAATTTGCTTTTCATTTTTAATATAAAATTACGAAAATTATTCTATTTTCATTGCTATATTTAATTATTTAAACGCACTATATATTTTTTTTGCTCGCCTTATTTTAGCCGCCATCTTGCTTTTTTTTTGTTGGTATTTTTAGTGTATTTTAAAATTTTAACTATGAATTGAATTTACCTGCACATGAAAACTCTAAATAAAAAAAACCCAAATTTTGAAACAAATTTTATCGAAATACTAATTTTGGCCACGAAACATTGGATGCTGGCCCACTGTGACCTGGAGAATTGTTCAACAAGTTTTTTTATGAGTTCAAAATAATTCGCTTTCACAATAAAAATATTTTTTTTCTCAATTTATTTGAAGCTTCTTATACAGATAACGGGATAAATTTCCTTTTAATTATTTTCTGAAACCAGTAAAATTGTTTATTTTTGAAACCAGCTTTCATCGACCAGTTTTTATTAAGAATTATAATTTCCAAAGAATCTGTGGTGCTATGAAATAACAACCCATCAAGCAGAAAATTTTAATTCGGCTGCGTTTGGCAATTTTAGGCAAATACATAGTAGAATTGTGCACTGATTCGATGATTTGAATCAAGGCGTCAAATCCATGAATTGATTCGATTCATACGACCTTTTTGAAACTGATTCGAATCACAAATGTGTTTCAAGTTATTTGATTCTAATTAAGTTCCAAATCACTTGATTAGAATTAAATCAAGAAAGGGAACTGCTTCTATTGATTCGTATCCTTTTTAAAAAAATTTTTACACTCAACTTTAACATGCAACACAAATATATGTTTTATATATAAGTTATTAAAGCTCACTATAAATCATGCGTCGAATCACTGAATTGATTCTATGATTCAAACCACCTTCTTGAAAATGATTCCCATCCTCGATTCATTTCATGTTAATTTGATTTGAATCAAGTTATAAATCACTTGATTAGAATTATATCACGAAAGGCAACTGTTTCTATTGATTTAAATCCTTTTTCTAAATTTGTTACTCTCAACTTAAACATACAACACAAATAAATGTATTCCATAAAAATTATCAAAACTCACTATAAGTCATTCTACTGAAATATTGCACTTCTTAAATTATGCTTGTTTTTCTCATGAGAAATCGATCATAATTTCAATCGATTTATTTCAATTACAGTAATCGTTGACAATATCTACTATGAATTATACCTTGTATCTTATCAGATTAATAGGCTTAAAAAATCCTCAAAAAAAATGCCTAGTTACTTCCGAACTGTTTCTCTAAGTTTCGAAAATTTACTTTCACTTTCCCTAAAGCAGATAAAAGCCATTATTAAAAGGGGCCCCAAAGGAACTACACAAGCTTTGGTTTTCCATAATCCTAACCGCTGCAGAAGTCATAACCTCTGCGTTCCATTTGGCCACACACGTGGAATGTTCGATTTATTTCCCAGAAAGAGGATATGGAAAGAATCAATTCTTTCTTATTTGTTGATAATGCATCTAGTTGAATAAACAAAATGTTTCAGAATCTTATTTAAAAAATATATTATTACTATAAAGAAAAGTATTATGGTTAAGTCTGCAAAATCTTTTGAATCTCAAATATATTGATAGTTTAACATATACATTATATATTTTATCTCGTCTTTATATACAAAATTTCCTGAATTTTGTTTAAAAAATGTATTGTTACAAAGAAAAATATAGTAGTTTAGTCAAAAAATCTTCTGTTGAGCCTCAATTATATCCTTATTTTATAAACCGTAAAATGATAAGTATTTTTATTTAAGCGTTAAATATTTCTAACTAACATATTTCTTCACATTATAGCTTCCAAAAATTTAATTATTTACTTAAAATAAATTTAAGTACAGATAATGGTTTAATTAATCAAATTTTCAAACTTGTAATATAATTTAAAGTACAAGAAAAAAATATTTTTAACAGTTTTAACAGCAACATATTATATTTATAAAAAGATTCCGCATACGTATTATTGACAAGATAACAGTTGCAATCTCTTTCATCATTCAAATAAGTTAAAACTCTTTTTTTACGTTAGTAGAAAAGAGAAAAAAATCTTTCAAATTTTATATGAAAAGTTGAAATTCTGCAATCAAATTTATTCGTAAATAATGTTTTAATTTAACTTATCAAAGCAATGCTGCTTTCTATATGAAGCTTTTAATCGGTTAAGTAATGCTGCTTTTACTTTATTTACGAAATAATTTACGAAATTATTTGCAAAGATAATTAGAAATAAATGCATTAATTTTACATTAGTTTTATATGCATGTTAAAAAGTATAAAAGTAATTAGTTCCATGAAAATAGTTCAAAAATTTGGCAAAATGTTTTTTCTTTTCTTTTCCTGTTTTTGTTAATGTTTTAAGATTTTTACTCACAATGTATATTTTGAACCATTCTAAAAAACTATTCTAGAGATAAAACATATTTTAGGATTTTTCGAAAAAAAAAGACTTTTCAGGAGTAGACGAGCATACTTTCAAAAATTCCATAATTTTTCAAATATGAGTTAAATTTTTTCAAATTAAGGAGGTGGGTGGATTACACAGAGCTATCAGGAGTACACAGAACTATTATTCTACTTTTTCAAATTTATTTTTTAAAACAAAATGCTTATTTTTGTTTATACTAACTTTTTTCTATTAATTTTAAACATTCTATTTATTGTTTTAAATGCTTCGTGTTTTCCCTTAATTTACAGAAAAGATAATAAATTGAACTGAAAATAGTTTATTATTAAGGAAATCATATTATCCACATTTTAATGAAAACTATGGAAAAAATATAATATGGTCTAAATATTCTTATATTAAAGACTCAAATAATTCTAAACACATTGAAAAAAAATCATCTCTATCTGCATTTTTTAAAAAGTTATAAGCGGTATTAGGTAAAAAAAGTTCCTCTTTCAGCAAAAACAAAACATAAAGTTATTTTTCCCATATACGATGTTTTTAATATTTAAGAATTTTTAAAAGTTAAAAATCATTTGGGAATAAGTATACAAGGATTTTTAAAATCTAAAATTTCTCAGGGATTAAGGATATTCCTAAGAATGCTTGAAAGCCAAAAATTCTCAGGGGCAAAGGGTATAATAAAAGATTGTTAAAATCTAAAAATTTTTAGAGTTTAAGTATAAACTCATAGGGATTAAGTATATCTCCCAAAGATTTTTAAAAGCTGAAAGTTCATAGGGATTAAATATATCCTTAAGGTTTTTCTTGCTTTGAAGTTAACTTTTTTTAAAAAAAGGTCAGCATTATGTACTTAATGAAATTGTGCATTAAATAAGTGTTTTTAAAACTATTATAATTTTCACAGTATGTCATATCTATCTGTTCAAATTTTGACACTGCTACCCATTGAAAGGAAGCTATAACGCTGCAGAAATCAGCCATGACAAATTATCTTTGATCTACATAAATAATTT